ACTAAAATAAGTTCGAATTTTTACGTTTTAGATAAAATACTCATCATTTCAAAAAGCACCCAGGTTTTTTCAACCGCTGGAAAATAAAGAAGGATAACTCTTCCGACCGGATCTTTTAAGGTAGTCCGATCCTCAGGTTCATACAATTAGCAGTTAAGTAATCAAAAATACTCAATAAAAGTATCTCTGAATTCACGAAGCTATGGAAATTTATTTATAGTATTTCTTTAAAGTTAAAGATTGAAGTTTATCATATTATATAGGAAAAATTGTCAAATCTCCAATATTTTTGCAGAAAAAAAATTAAAATATCAAAAATGCATTTTCTAATGGGAAATTGATCAACAAATATATTTTATGTTACAAAATAATAGGTGTCCAGGCAATCAGATAAATTTTTATGATTTTTAAACCTATTTGGTATTTTTTGTCTTTTATTTCCGTCATGTATTCTATAATACATAATGTAAAAACGGCTTTTGCTATCATTGCAAATCACCACAAATCACTTCTTATTTCATATCATACTAATAAACATTGGTATCTAAAGCTGAATTCAACAAAATTTTATTTCTCTAAACTGTATTATTTTTTTTCCTTTTACAGAGTACAAATATCAACTTTTATAAGACCTTTTCTAAGACTTTCAAAAACCTTGAATCTAACAAAGAAGAATAAAATGAAAATTGTTGCATGAAAAAAATTATTTTCAAGCTTCGTTTTGATGCATTTCAAATTAAATATTAATTTTTGGAGTTATCTTTCCTGGCTGAGGATCAGATATCCTTAATTCAATAAGTTTTAAATTCATCTGATTTTTTTCTATTTGTGTATTTTTTTTATTTGTTTATTTCATTTTGCTAGCATATTGAGATACATTCTTATTGTAGACTTTCATGAAATATTAATATTATACGTCTGTTTTAAAGAGATAAACTTTTCCCATTTTTTTACGCTAATTTTTTGTTGAAAATTTCTTGTCATTCTTTTCATTTTTATGTACATTTTACATTAATGACTCTTGTCTAAAATGTTAAGCTTTGGAAAAAGAACATTTTTTTACATTTCTCATTAGAATAAAAAAATTAATAAAATTACAATTTAATAAACTGAAAGGTGGGGGATTTCAAAATCTTTTATTCGGTAAAAAAAATATGTAGGAAAAGTTTTGTTTGGTATCCCATACCACCTCAAGAAATAAGATTGATCTGATAGCTTAATAAAGCTACTTTAGGTAGGTAAATCAAGCTACGTAGCTAACTCTAGTGATTGTACCAGACCTGATAAAGGCAAAACAAGATAACCAGCACGAATGTCGCCATTCGTGACAATAAAGCAGTAAGGTGTAACGAATGCGATAGATATATACCGGTGCTTATATCAATACTGTATACAGGAAAATATAGTCCTTTTGCACACTAAAACGTCATGTCAGGTCAAAGGTCATAGGGGAAAAAATTACATCCGGGCTCTTATGCCGATAAATAATCGAAATTGGAAAGGAAGGTAGTTTATTAAAACCGCTCATAACACATTAATTAAGCACATAAGTTTAAAAAAATATATAGAAACCAGAAAAAAATGTTCTAAGGTTATTATCGAGAGTTCAAGATTATAAAGTTTCATTTAATTTTCTTAAATTTGAGCTTGTAAAATCGGTGAGTGGAATTGTCTACTCTTTTGACTTTACTTTCACTTTGCTCTTTTTCTGTCGTACGTACTTGTTAGAAATTTTATTACTAAGCCACAAGAATAATTCATTTATTTTTTATTTATTTATTTTTTTTATTTGGTGACGGGAATTCATACTTATGTATATTTTCAGATATTCATCGCTTATCAATGTCGGTAAATGTGCTTTTTGTTGTGTTGTGTTTTTTGCTTACGTTGTTGACAGTTTTTTACAATTTACAAGAGCTACTAATAACAAACTCTTTAAATATTATCATGTCTAAAAGGATGTACAAACAGCTGGTATAGTTTACAAAAATAGAGACTACAATTTTGTTCAGTTCACAATACAAATTATGGAACAGGGAAACGTGTCCTTATTCCATTCCTAACTGTGGCAAAAGACCCTCATGCAAGAGCTGTCTGGGTGAAAAATGTAAATCGTTCCTCATGGAATCGTAACTCGGAGCCAGATTCCTACTACTCGAAGGTGTGCTCATACCATTTTGTAGATGGGAAACCAACTACACTTAACCCCTACCCTACTCTACACATGGGCCACTCTAATCCGGTTCAGCAAGGAAGAGCTCCTCCAAAAGAAAGAAATATTTCTCAATTGGACAGAGTTTGTTTGAAACAAAGTGTTTCTTTTGACCATGACTATGTTGAAGTTTGTAACCCTTGCATGTACAAAAGTACTGAAATTTTACATCTTAAATCAAAAATTAAAGTTCGTGAATATGAACTCGCCAAATCAAGGGAAGAGAATCACAAGCTAAAGAGAAATACATTCATTGTAAAACCTACCAACATATCAAAATCTGACAAAAAAAGTGAGGTTTTATACAGGTGTTCCATCAATGAACTCATTCAATGCTCTGCATAATGCTCTTGAACCTAAGCTAAAAAGTGTGAGGTACTGGAAAGGACCATCCTTTCACTGCAATACACTGTAGCATAAGGTTTTCAAGAAATGTAGAGCATCAAGAAAACTGTCCACTAGAGACGAGTTAGTTTTAACTTTAATGATAATCCGACTTTGGTTATTGGATAAAGATTTAGCAGACGGATTTTCTATTTCTGTGTCGTATGTGTCAAGAATCTTTACCATTTGGGTGAAGATTCTTAGCAAGTACATCAGTATACTAATTTTCAACCCTCCGAGAGAAGTGGTCCATGCAAATTTGCCCCCAAAATTAAAAACACAGAAATACTCATCAGTTCGACACATTATTGACTGTTCGGGGGTCTTCATTGAGAAACCTCATAGTATGATGGTTTCAAACCAGTGCTGCAGTGATTACAAACACCACTACACTACAAAATTCCTTGTAAGTATCACTCCAGCTTGAATGATCAATTCTGTGTCAAACTGTTGGGGAGGTAGAGCCAGTGACAAATGTATAACAATTAACTCTGGCTTCCTTGACTTGATAGAACCTCACGATAGTGTCTTGGCAGACAAAGGAATCTCATGGAAGAGCTGAATCATATTCTCATGCAAATTTGCTTGTTCCACCAGGAAGGCATGGTATTGCAAAGATGACTGCATATGATGTTCAAAAAACAATAGAAATAGCAAATAGAAGAATATATGTAGAACAAACCATAAGACGTATTAAATTCTTTCGCTTAATGAAATTTGTAGTTCCTGTTACAATTTGTCAACATTTGGACGATATACTCAAAATTGTTTGTGGAATATGCAATCTTTATCCACCCCTCCCTAGGTATGATTGAAATGGTAAAAAAAATTGTAAATAAGCTAAAACCAGAAACCTTAAATTTTAAAATCTTGTAATAACAAACATAAAATCAGTATATGACAAAGCTTTAATAATTGTAATAATTGTAATATATACATTACATGTTTGTCAATATATTGTTGACATTGTTAATGTCATTTTCAGAAAGTTCACATTTTATTGTACATATACCTAAAGATAGTACACAATAGATATGACAAAGAATATTCAAATTCAGTTTGAAATATCAGACCCATGTAAAAAGATTGTGAAATCAAACATTTGACCCGAGAATGTGTATTTTTTTTATTAACAATTAATCTATTACAAACTTGTGTGACTGTTTATAAGGCAACCTTTTTCTTACTAATTTTCAGTAAATATTTTAATACATATACCAGTGTTTTTCAGACATATGTGATTTACAAATAAAACATACATAGTCCAGAAATGGAAAATTTACAGGTAAATATGCTTAAACATAATCAAAAATGTAGGCTCCAAAATGACCAATATATAAGATCCAATGTCTTTAATTCTATACAAATTATGGCAAAAATATGTCACAGTTTATAATTTTTCTTACAAAAATCCTTGACAATTGAAAATATGACCTTTTCTGGTGTACTTAATAAGAAATGAGTTAAAATGTTCAATGAGTGTTTGTACTACCTTTACACGTAACAGCTATATACTAAAGTACATGTAACTTCTGTATTCACATAGAACACTCACTACAGTACCAAGATGGTGTTTTCTTAAGTTTTGCATCTGTTAGATTAACACATTTAAAGTGGTACCAAAGACCACATAAATTACAACAAATACTTCTATCTTTTAAAGTAGTGACATTGTTAACAATGACTCGATTACAACATAGACAAAAATATGTCTCTCCATCAATAATATTTGCATTTTCATCTACTTCCATTGCTTCCTCCACTAGTGATTTTTCTATATTGTGGGATTTTAACTCTGGCAACACAAAAGAAAAGAAAAAGTACTGAAGGCTTTTGAGAATATCTGTAAAATAGGTTTCGTTGTACTGTATTTTCTCTATGAAAGTACCAATACAAGTATAAACAAAAAATCGCACTACTTTCTTCCAGTAACATGCATCTGTCCTTGAATTTGAGCAAAATAAGAGTGATTACTTTTTAACGATTTCCCTGACTTGTTAATAAGATAAACTGGTATTTTGCATGTACAAAATGACAAACATGAACTACATTGCTTTATCAATGGACACTTGATTTCGACACAGCCATCGCCACAGCATGAACATGAAACTAACAAATCTGGACTGGCTGCAATGTAAGTGTGTACAAAATCAAGAACAATACCACATTCATCTGATTTGGCAGTCTTATGTGCTGTACAAAATTATTTCAAATAAATACCCTTTGCAACTTGTTCCATTTCCTTACCATATTTTAGAGACTTTATGTTAGGATTCACTTTTGTATAACTCATGATATGTTTCACACGTGGTTTAACGTCATGGACAACAGTGGGTTTATTATTGACATCCTCCAACTTTTGTATGAATACAATAAAAGTTGGAGGATGTCAAACGACCAATCCTCAATCCATGCCATGTACTATTGGACGATTGACCTTCAGTACTGTTACTAATATATGTAATGGTAGAGGGAGGGATCTTGATGTTAGTGTCATTTTGAGTTTAAATGATGACAACATGGACTTCATGAAGTATTGTTGAACGTTGATCTGTGAGCAATCCTCCATAATCATATCTGCTCCGGAAGCGTGTGGTTCCTTCCCCTTGGCTTGGTGAGGTGGATCAACATCTAGACCTTTAAATTACATTAAAATAAATTATACCAGGCATAAAATATTACTAATATATGTATATATTTATTATTTAATATACATATGTACCTCTCTTTTTAACAATTTTCACCCATGTTTAACATTATTGAATAAATTCAAATAGTTGTCAATTCATCCTGCTGTTTATGATTTTATTACTCATTGAGGAACCTTGTCAGATGATTGAGATGAACTATTAAAATTTTTGGGGTAGAGATTTCTATCAACGGTGAAAAAATAGAAACTTCATTATCAAAATAAATATATGTACATGTATATGATGTAGTACAGATTGAATTGTAATATTTAACCTTTAAATAAACAAGCATCAGGCAAGGTTTCTCTCAATGCATCTGAAAAGGTTGCTAAAAAGTTTTCCTCTTCATTATCCTCTGGCAGTCCATTATAGTTTTTCCTGCTTCCATTTAAAGTTCTCGTTTTTCCTTTAAATAAATGAGTTTAAAATTACTTGTAATACTGTACATATGTATGTAAGGTTACACATTTGTCTAATATTCTTTTCTATTACAGTGCTGTTTAGATTGATTTGCAAAGACCATTGTACTTGATTTAATGAAAATTCCGTAGTATTCATAAGAAATAATATTCTTTAACTATTTTGTAATGATTCTTATACCCCCGCTTAAAAAACAGGAGGGTATATATCGGGGTAGTAACTGGTATGTCTGTCTGTCTCTCTATTCGTCCATCTGTTACGCTTTGGAGTACCCATCTCTTATACTCCTCTCATACTACATAACGAAAATTTCACAAAATCTTTATGACATAATGCCATTGTGCACCCCCTATTTTACTTTTTGATCTGACACATATTTTGGGTTTCCCATAGCAAAACATGCACACTGCCATTTTATTCATATGGGAGGCAGGGGGTATCATTTAGTGTGCTCGTTGCTCACAGTGCCTCTAGTTTCAAATTCTTCTGAGACTGTTTTTTTTTTAAAAAAAAAAGACTGTTTTGACCATTTTCACACATTATTAAGTTTTTAAATTTAATACCGGTTTTTCCATGCTTAGCTCTCTCAAAAGTCATGTCCCTCAGCATGGCTGGCTCTAGTGGTCACTCTTTTGGTACAATCCATTCACATTTATAAATGTACATGAAGTGTACCCCATCTTGTTGGCATATTCCACCCGGAATAACAATCCTGCAACATGATTACATGTTTGTCCAAACCTATATTTTACAGCAGAAAAAAGCATTAAAATACAGCTTTACAAGAAGGAGAATCCAAAATTGAAAGTAATTTTAAATTATTTAATTATTTTAATATGGAGATTTAGTGGGATAAAGAGCTACAGACCATGCAAGGTAAACTCAAAAGTATTGATTATCAAGCATTCAACTATCAACTGAGAAAAAAAAGTATACTTTTTTTCCTAGCAAATAACTGCGAGCAGTTAAAACACAATTTTAGCGTGTATAAACTGAATTGAACCTGCGTGTTCATGTTTTAAGAGAAAAAAAATATAATTCAACCTGTATATCAACGACCTTTGTGTGTAATAGCGAGGTGGTGCATAGCACCGCCATATGTGTCTGCTTATATGTATCACCCTGTGTATATGCAGTAAAGCGTGAAATTCAGACTCAATTGAGGGCCTTACAAGGGAATATTGAAAAGAATTTTTGGATGTATTTTGCGATTGAGACTTGATCGCAGAACTTTGCAAAAAAAAAAAATAGCATCCTGCAGAAAAATCCACTTATACGGTAAATAAGGCAAAAAAATCTCTCGCTGTAATGTTAATCATCCTATGAAGACAAACTGAAAACCATCCTAAATTAATGCACTCAGACTGAATGCTATTCTGAAACTGAACTAAAATGAACCAAATCAAACAGTACGGACGAGCTCGGGAAGCGGTTTGACAGATTTTTGCGAATCACTGTTGTTAAGAAGGTCATGCAATGGAAATTTTTCTCTATATATTTCGCATTTTTTCTTATATGTATACATGTATATATATTTCTAGGTTTTGATTTTATTAAAGAATCACTGTCTAGTTAGTAGAGTATGCCAGGAACATCAACGATAGTCTGAAATAGAAATGGAAATATTATTTCACATTTCCTTTATATATTTCGAGGTTTTATTTTTATATTTTACATATCATACATTTCATACATATTTATACATGTATAAGGAGATTTGCTGCTTATGTAGCTTATTCTTTTATTCACAAATTTTCTTGGGGTTTAATTTCCGTAGTTTTCGAGGTGTGGAGAGCCATGAATTTATGACCACCACGAAATTTAAAATTTCATATGCATTTCTAGTAAATATTTTCAAACCACGAAATCAAGTCCCCAGAAACCAATATTTTCCCCTCGGAGCTTTAAAATTTTATCCAACGAAAATATGTGATTTTACAGTATATACATGTTAGCACTAATGGGCTTCTGTACTTATCAAAAAAGAATGAGCATCGCAGCTGATAGTACTGGACTTTTGCGAGAAGCACTGGCTTTGACAGCTTACTTGGACGTTTTAACCTGGGTTATGTACGGATGTATGGAATTGATAATAGATAAGAAAACATCAATAGTGGTTCCATTAGGGACACTTACCTTATTTAACAACAAAAGAGATGATTGGAGATAGAATAACATTACTTAAGATACTTTTTTCTTGAGAAAAAGTATCTTCTTTATTTTCATTTTTAAATTGAGTTAAAATAAGAAGAAAAAAAACATTCCGGAAGGAAAACTTGGCGGGAGTTGGTCAAAATGGACGGGAGGTGTTTTGGGGTAGGATTGTTGCCGTTCCCGGTCTAGACGACGTATGTATAGTAACCGATTCTACAAATGTCCTACGAGTCTCTATCAAGAAACAGGTTGAAATACTTGAAAGAAGAGACAGGAGATACAAACATAATATAATACAATTTCACAAAATGGTCCACAGGGCTCCCAACTCCTCTATATTTTTTTTAAATCTAGTCCCAACTCCTCTATATTTTTTTTAAATCTAGTTCAACTTGACAAACATATCACATTAAACAAATCAAATTCAGAAGAGATTGTATTAACTGTCAATCTTTGGAACGAACACCCTGATGTTATCAAACAAAATCCTACACAAATATAAAGCGTTATTGAACTGTTGATAATACAAATCGTACACTCTTCTTATTTTTGTGTCTGGTAAACATAGGGGAACAGATGGATATGGAGATAATGAACAGTATTCAAACTCAAAGTCCATAAAACAATACAAAGTAAACAGTGTGGTATTTTAAACAATTATCTTTCCGGGCGAATTTAAAACGGGGCAAACTTGTCTCTGAATGTGAAAGGGTGAAAATAACACGGGGCGAAAATAACCCTGTATACAGTATTACACACAACATTACGACTTGGTTATTGCAAACTGAACAGTATTGTGGCGAGGCTGAAACCTCAGAAACCTTTGTTCAGTGTTGTACTTATTCTTAGAAACCAAGAAACATACAGATTAATTTTCACTCTTTCTCCTCATAAAAATACTAAATTACTAATATGATCTTAACCTTCGGAAGTTTCCCTAGCAGAAAATATTTCGTCTTTTAAATCAATCGAAAAACACATATAGTACTGTATACAGGGTTATTTTTGCCCATTCACACTTGCAAACAATTTTGTTCCGTATTAAATTCGCCCCGTCATAGTTTTTGTTTAAGAAATTATGCTGTTATACTTATATTTACTCTTTGAATTCGCCCTGATTAAATTCGCCTAATGAGGCCAAAAGTGGTGAAAATATAACGAGGGCGGAAATTTTCCTGTATACGATATCAACTAAGAAATTTGCATAGCCAGTTTATATACAGTAATTCCTTCATGGGTATGTATAATCTTAAAAAGAAAGAGTCCAAATTGTGTAAAGATTAGTGAAAACGCAAATTAGACCAAGATGTAAGGCTAAAATGAAATAACCTGTCCTCCCTCAAAGTAGACTACTCTGAAGGGTGTAAAATAGTCCGTACTGTAAGTATTAGTTAGTTCGTTGTTAGAGACCTGGAAGAAAAGCAATAAGACGTGTTAGAAAGAAAGAATTAGAGAAAGGGTAAATAGGTTATTTCATGTTCCGGTGACAAGAATCCCGGGAAATAGAGGTGAGATACTCTGTATGAGATGTAGATCTGAATAAGAACGAAACTCCTAGTATCCTCTACATGTATCACCTTGTCAGAATGGATTAAATGTATCAGATCCATGTGAAAGTCACGTATTAAGAAATTGGGGGGCAATATGAAAACCATCTATCCTTCTGTGTTCAATAATCCAGAAGTGAAAAAAGAATTAGATATATTACATGTACATGATCAGTACGTACTGGTTCCTGCCGACGAACCTGCGTTATGTACGGATGTATGGAATTGATAATAGATAAGAAAACATCAATAGTGGTTCCATTAGGGACACTTACCTTATTAAACAGACAAGAGATAATTGGAGATAGAATAACATTGCTTTATATACTTTTTTCTTGAGAAAAAGTATCTTCTTTTATTTTCATTTCTAAAATGAATTAAAATAAGAAGAAAAAACATTCCGGACGGAAAACTTGGCGGGAGTTGGTCAAAATGGACGGGAGGTGTTTTGGGGTAGGATTGTTGCCATTCCCGGTCTAGACAACTTATGTATAGTAACCAGTTCTACAAATGTCCTACGAGTCTCTATCAAGAAACAGGTTGAAATACTTGAAAGAAGAGCCAGGAGATACAAACATAATATAATACAATTTCACAAAATGGTCTAAAGCCCAACTCCTCAATATTTTTTTAAATCTAGTTCAACTTGACAAACGTATCACACTAAACAAATCAAATTCAGAAGAGATCGTATTAAATGTCAATCTTTGGAACGAACACCCTGATGTTATCAAACAAAATCCTACACAAATATAAAGCGTTATTGAACTGTTGATAATACAAATCGTACACTCTTCTTATTTTTGTGTCTGGTAAACATAGGGGAACAGATGGATATGGAGATAACGAACAGTATTCAATCTCAAAGTCCATAAAACAATACAAAATAAGAGCAGAGCAAACACGGACCCCCAAAGCATCAGAGGTTGGATCAGGTGCCATGGAGGAGTAAGCATCCCCTGCCGACCGGTCACACCTGCCATATGCTCCTTGTCATGATCATGATATTACACACAACATTACGGCTTGGTTCTAGCAAACTGAGCAGTATTAAGGCGAGGCTGAAACCTCAGAAAACTTTGTTCGTAAATTTACTTAAATCTGGTCATTGGTCATTTGCAAAATTATTTTGTTAAAACACGTACATTCTGATTGCAAACACAAGTACTCTGAAGTTGACACTAAAGAGATGCTTGAGTTTCTGATTGACAATATCTATGTGGTTTTTTGGTGTCTAGGTATTCCAACAATCCCATGGAATTCCGTTATTAACAGACTATTTTGATATTCATATAAAGCAGAATTTGCGCAAAATCTTATGAGTAAAAAAAAGAAAATACTTGCTGTGGCCTTCAACTCGACTTTTATATATATCTACGACGTATTGTCAATTAACAATGGTAATTTCCATTCCTACATCGATACGATACAGTGTATATCCTAATGAGCTTGAGATAAAAGATACCACAGAGTCTGACACATCTGTTTCATACTTAGATATTTTACTTGAAAAAGACGTTAATGGTAATCTAATAACCAAGCTACATGTATGTGACTGCGACTGGGAAAATGGGGCCAGATGAGTAAAATATCGAAATTTATTTTATAGTCTTTTTTAAATCACCATACTTTGAATAACACAAATTCAAAATTTCATGCAAATATCATTAAAAATGAAGAAGATACAGGCCCGTGTATGCAGGCATCTTTCAGTCATATCATAACGTCAGTGACGTTACTGTAACGTCGTAATTAGAAAATCAAACATATCTCAACATTTTCAGTCTACTAGTATATTAGGATCAATCTCTTCTTTTTCTTTAAACTCTTCTTAAAATTTTGCTTGGATATGATGAAAAAAAATTAATCATTAAATATACTGTTATTTTTACTTATTAGTTATGACATATGACTGTTGAAACAATTGAATTTGATTCAGAAGACTGACTTATTATCCTTCCAGCATCGATGCCCAAAGAGAGAAAATGAAGAAAAGATGCATAATGAAAAAAATAATCCAACCATTTATTTTCAATAAAATAAACTCTAGAAACATGAGAAATGCACAATAATTATTATAAAGATAAATATACAAATTGAAATTACATTCCAAAATAACAAGAAAATTATTATTTGTAGTTGTGACAAAATACACCAGGAATCACATAGAATATAGAATGACAGAGGTTCTTTGACAGCTGTAAACATATTCACAAAAAGATGAATAGCAGATCACTATTTTTAAAACAGGCAATAACTCTGAATATTGCAAACATGCACATTATGGATAAAATGTACTGTTATGATATTATAGAAGTATGCATCTGTACTTTCTTAACATTATCAACAGTATTAAGTATAAAAATTATAGACATAAAATTATGGGGGGCAGCGTGAAAATGGTATCTTTTGAAATTTAAAAATGTCGCAGAGAAAATGCAAATATCAGTTAACAATTTTCATACTATTACACATTTTTTTAATAACCGTTGAGATGTAACACTACTCATAGGACACAGCTTATGTAAACAGTTTAGTTAAAGTATCAATTCCAACAAATGTTGTAAAGCAATGAAATTCGATGAACAGAAAAGTACATCAATGTAACACATTACGGGAAGTAATACAATAGGAACTACATGTATACATTTACTTCTAATCTTTCTTACACACAATAACTCTCCCTTACATCTAAGGAGAAGACTTTTCCTTTTCCCCAAGTGTGACGTAGAATGATCAAGTGAATAAACTTTCACCTCTTTCTTTGGTACAAGTGGTTTTGGACATGATGAGTCTTTAGCAGAGAGTGATATACATTGTTCATGGATTTCCTCATAGAGGTATCATTCCCTTTTGGGCTCAAGACCAGGTGCTGGCCACTGCTGGGATTTCTTGAGGCAGAGGATCATTTACGGAGGGAAGGATATTCTGATCTTTCAGGAGATTAACACATAAAGGAATAGAATTACAGAGCTCCGTACATTCAACAATGCCAGAAGTCTCAGCACTTACTCGGAAATGATGATAGCCTCGAATGTTTTTCAAGGGTTTGAAGAACTGTTCAAGGTACGACTTCCAATCCCTACACTGCACAGGTGTTTGTGGATCTCGCACGAGCTGAGGAGTGTTATGGCCTCTGCAAGATGAATGACGGACTGTGTCTGCTATATCATTCATGGTTTCTGAAGTGGATGAATGCCAGACTCCAAAATGCCAGTCAGGATCAAATTTAGTGTGTCCTGCGACCATCATGGAATATTCCACAGTAGCATGGAGTCCTAATTGAAGGAAATACACTCTTTTAATTTAAATACAAATGCTACATTAAGGAAGAGTTTGCATTTCATGACTATCAAAACTGACATTATACATGCATGAAACACTTTGGGCATTGAACATACTGAATAACAAACAATGCTTTTACCGGGTACAATTTTTAATTATTAAATTAAATATTTTTCATTATGATGTACACTTACCTACAAGAACTCTCCAGAGAGCAGACCATAAGAAAAAGTTGTTTTTGTTTTGCCCACTGCAGTTGTCAAAATGAATGGATGCTGTTTTTCTCCATATCCATGGTACTGAAAAAAGTGATGAACCATATTAATGACAGAATTAGTACCCTTCTCTGTGTTCTCAGCCTCGTCAATCAATTAGAACACTTTTTGGCTGCCATTTAAGTAAAAACAAAAATTTTGATCAGAACTAAATAACTCAACCATTGACTTGTTTATTTAGCTTATATACATGCATTATGACAAAAATAGAATGTGTTAATATTTTGCTGCAACTATAATCAATAGAATTCATAATAACTAAAATTGTTTTATTCAGAATCAGTCCCATACATATATTATTATACATTTAAAAGCATATCTTTACATACATGTATTTTAGATGTTTCCTCAAATATTAGATTTCCAAATAAAGGGTAATTAATACAATTCTTATAAGAATTACATGTACACTTATTTCTGAATGAATTGGAGAACTAAGCAATATATAATGACTTATGAATTAAATACCTGAACCCTCGCAACATACACCAGACACATTGCATTTCCAGGGCGTCTTGAAAAATATTGGTCCCACTTATTGGGCATGATGAGGAAAATGCACTTGTTGTGCATAGTCCAAGGAATAGTGCATTTCCATATCCATATCAACTGAGCATGGAGCATTTCCTTCAATAAAATAAATTATTCATGATCATTTGTGTGTATTGATAGTTACATGTATTCACAGTATATTTACAATTTCACGAACAAAGAAATTCAATTCACAGAAGAAATTTAAATGCAAACACTTAGGTATGTCTGTTTTCCTATTACTACTTAACGGAAAAAGAGAAGAAAATGCATGGCTGCATGGGATTGAACCCTTGACTCCTGGTCAGCTGGTCTACCCATTGAGCTACCCAGGTTGATAATAGGCTAAATCTAATCACATAATTATAATAGTACTTGAATGTTCATTACCGCTAAATGCTAATTAACTGAAAGTATACTTTAATCTGTTACTTGTAACTATACACTAAAGGAAAAAAAAATTGCAATAAAATTTTAACTAACCAGTTTGTTTACATTCTTCTGGTAAGGAAATTAATGCTTCCTTGCTGATGGTACACTGGTGTCTGTAGTAGTCCCTTTTCTGCTTAGTTTGGGAAACATGCTGCATGTAGGTAGAAAGGATTTCTTCCTTTTCCTCGTCATTCATATTAGAAACTGTAGACAGACAGTTGATGAGAGAAATGCTGACAAAGCTGACATAGGTCAGTACATGGTTTCATGATTGTAAATGGAAGCAACTCATGCCAAGTTCCTTGAAATATCCTTATGTGTATTTTTCTGAAGTTTCTGCATCTAGAATCTCATACTTAGCATAAATGTCAGCAGTTGTCATATCCGATGGAAGTAGAAGCAATTTCTCAGATTTTTAATTTGGCAGTCGGCCTGGTAAAGGCAGGGCATGGTCACTAGCATACTTAGTAATAAATGTTTTGATTCTGTCCTTGTCTGTCACTGATGAGCCTTACCACTGTTTCCATGTGTTCTGGGTAAAAAATAGTTAGAATAATCTAACTGTGTCTCGGTACAAGCCCTCACCACAATCGTTAAACCAGGTCCGTAGGACAATATCATTTTAACGATAGAACGTTCTATCTAATGCTGCATCAAAGTCAATTTTCGTGCTACATGGCATTCCATAAAACCCAGTTACACCCTCTTGTGTCATTCTAAAATTTGGAACGGATTATGTATAACGTCGTGTCGGTGACGTTATCATTTTTGTCATTGTCACTTTCAGAGTCAGAATCCTAGTTTAAATCACCAAAACACTCGTATCTGTCTCGCTGTCACTTAGATCACAAAACTGTCTGTCGCGCAAGTTAAATTTTGGAGCAACAACTGAACAAGTTTAGAAAAATACGCTCTATATCTTCTAAAAATTCATCATCTTGATAAATAACAATTTCTGATGGTATTCTTATCGATGTTGCTTTTTCCCAGTCGCGGTCACGTATATGATAAACGTGATGACTTTAACTTTTCTATTGTCAACGTCCTTTACTTATGCAGCAATATACCTTCATCACCTGCATACGGAGTGAATATATCTCAGTTGATTCGATACGCAAGAACATGCTATACGTATGAACAATTCATAAAACGAGGTAGATTATTGACACGCAAGTTGATGAAACAAGAATATCAGCAGACTCGTTTAAAGTCATCATTTCGTAAGTTCTATGGTCGAATCGATACAATGACTTTATCAGCAATTTATCATTGAGTCAAATGCTGACTGACGTTTTTCATACTAATGGTTAGTCCATTATTTATACACTGAATTGACAATGCAATTTTCCGTTATTATCTGATCATGACAAGGAGCACACGGCGGGTGTGACCGATCGGCAGGGGATGCTCACTCCTCCATGGCACCTGATCCCACCTCTGATGTTTCGGAGGTCCGTGTTTGCTCTGCTCTTATTTTGTATCTTTTATGGACTTTGATATTGAATACTGTTCGTTATCTCCATGTCCTTCTCATATCCTTATTTAAAAATAATTTTTTTAATAAAAAGATAGGTTCAAGAAAAATCATTATCCTGTACATGGTCAAATATAATATAATCATACATTCAGGTAGAGTAAGAGAAAAATTCATCCCCTGAGAACCATATGCATTGGTACAATATGGTACGCGTGTTTTCTTTGGTATTAATAGAGAGGTTTAGCAAACCAAAGTATACGCGTACATTACGTCATCACTTTTGCTAATGACGAATTTCTACACGTATCTTCTTACGCAGGTTACGTGTAGATTGCCAAGTACACGTAGGCCTAAGTCAAAACATGTAGCTTATAATTCTTTAACTGCTGTTTATTTTTCAAAAAGTGTGCGTTTTTCTAAAACCTGAATATTTAATGCAAATACTGATAAAAGAACTGAACGTCAGTAATTGAAAAATATTAATTTATAGGGAGTTAAAATCACAACATCTAGATTTTCGAAACAGGTTTTGACCGATTGAAAATATAATAAATATGTATAATCTTTTTTCTCATAAGTACATGCACATATTTATGTAAAACGGTGATATACGTATTAAAATCATTGCTTTTTCGGATGATTTTTAAATGTAAACCACTTTTACATTTAAAAACTTACAAGTACAAGTACAGGTTATACTTTGCTAAACAAGAAAAAAATGTTAACGTGTACGTGTAATTCTAACTTGTAGTTTACACGTACATCTACACGTACAAGTGAGCTCGCTAAACCTCTCTATTATATTTTTCAGTATCATTATACCAGTAACATTACATTTTGTTAATCCTACTATATTCCTCTGTGTTTTTTTTTCTGACATTCATGTCTATTTTCTTGTATTACAATCCGTCAACTGTATTATTCTGCACTATCTAATACGGATCTTTTACTTTAACAAACATGTTTCTACTGTATGCTTAAGTTTTTCAAATAAAATTTATGGTTAACTAAGTTCACTCAAACTCTAGTAAATAAAAAAAAAAATTAAAGACCATTCATGCAGATAAAATTTCAAGTGCTTCAAGTTTTAAAATGCCGGGTACAACAGAGGGACTGATTTCAAGGTGAGTCAAATCTCGGTTAGTTTATGTTCCAAAAAATATGTCTTGAAATGTATAAATTTTGAAAGCAGAACGCAACATTATCTATTTATTTTTTTTTTTTTCAATTTTGATTGAATATTAGTTTGGTTTGATTCATACTTTACATATTTAACAGGTAACCATGCCGGGTTTAAAACCTTTTTTTCAAACAATTTCACAAGTACGAGTTTGTGCCCATTGAGGCTTACCACGGTTCTTTTAAAAAGCAAGTTGTTCAACTAACATTGCGTGACTCATTTTATATTTATAATGTGTATCTTGAAATTGAATATATCAACTAAAAAGAATGTGGAAATGTGAGATAAAAAGACATTTAAATACGGCAGACATAGCAGGCAGTGATGCAGAACAATTCATAACTTCTATTTAAGATTATTTATTTAGTTCATACGGTAAAGACATTTTAAAAATTCATTGTCATTGATCCTATCACATTCAGTATTTATTTTCCTTTCACAACATTGTTAGAAATTATTTTAGCTAAATATAGAAATATATAATTCGTGAAAGTTATTTGTAACAGTTACAATAAATTGATCAGAATTCTCCGAAGTGATTACTTATTTAAGATGAGAAAATATTAACAAATTTACGACCATAAGCAACCTGTACTTTTCTGAATGCTTGTTTTGGCTATGATACTTTATTTTATGAAAGAACCATATCGATCTTGCTCTCACTCTATAAAGATCAATATTCGCCATTTTGTTCGTGAGTAGTGACGTTATACACATTTTATATCTGATGATATTCTTAGTTATTTAAAGATGTTAACATTATATTGTCATCTGTTCATGTTATCTGTGTACATACAATTTGTAGAGCATTAATTTGTATTAATTTTACATTATAAATATTAATCTTCTCGTTAATGAACAGTGCTTTCAATCCTTCAATCCTTATCCCCGAACTGTTCATATCTATGGAGAAATAAATACCTAAAAAGTAATATCGGTTTGATGTTTATTCTTAAGATATTTTGATTAAGCTCATTATTATGTCTGAGCATTACATACTTAGAGAGAGGGGAGACAAGGAGTGAAGGAGGGGGTGGGTGGGTATTGTAACTGTAGACAAACAGAAAATGATGAACAAAATAAATTCAAAGAACACAGAGAAAATATTTATTTCATTAACATGATTATGCTTCGTATTGAAAGTTAATTTTTTTCAATGACTTACCTTTTCTAGTTCTGAAAAATCTACATATATAGAGAGAAGAAGCTCTCTCTCTCTCTCTCTCTCTCTCTCTCTCTCTCTCTCTCTCTCTCTCTCTCTCTCTCTCTCAATATACAATACAATGCAAAAGTTAATTTCTATTAATAGGGCATTATAACAAAGACACTATAGTGTGCTTACCGTTAAAATACACATAAGCATACAAAATGGAGGATTAATTATACATACAGTGCACTCTTTCAAAAATACATAATTATGCATATTTATCTTCTACAATAATAAGTCCTTTCAGTATGAATATAGCAATAGACACATATTGAACGCTGATGACATTCTTCTGTAAAGTATATCCATATGTAACAATGAACGTTTGCATGCTCTTTAAATCTTCTGAGATACAAGGTTTTAGAGCACTTATATATATAAAACAACCTGATTTGTCACGTGATTAGGTAACTGCAGTTTATTGCATGCGTTGGTCAACATTGTTATCTTTCAGGTGAATAATTGATTGTTTCATTGTTCCTATGAATAATCGATTGTTTTATTAAATTCTTCGTTTTCTGGGCATATCCTTCACAATTAAACATCATTGTGGATTGTGTAAATAACACAATGAGCAGATGGTCTTCCTCAAAATAGAATTCTAATCGGCTGATCTCACAATGCATGTTTAAATTATCTTCCTTGTCTATGGCTATATGGGTGTAGGAAGAAAATCATTAATAGGTTTGGATCAGCCTTTACTATTATACAATTCTTAACGTGTTATTATTATATTTTGCTATTTTAGCTTAATACTTTTTCATAAATGTATTTTACTTTAAAATTTCATTTACTTTCAGTTTACATCTATTTAAAATCGCAGACTTGTTGTCATATAAATTTGCTTATCTTTATTATTTTGAGTGGGTTTGGGAAATTTTTATATATAGTTTGTTTCAAATAATTCAATATCAGTGTTTCTGGGATAAACGCCCCTGCAATTTTTTTAATCATGTAGCAATTATGCACTATATCCATTTGCATGAGTTAAAATACTAAGCACTTCTGCAGATTCGGGGTGCACTGCAAAGAGTCGGTCTTAGACAGAATAAAGATGAATGGCGGTGTAATAGCGAAAAAAAATCTTATCGAATTTTAATGGTGTTTACTTTGTATACTTTATTTAATTGAACATCGTTATTAGAGACACATTAATCTCTCTCTCTCTCTATCTCTCTCTCTCTCTCCATTTTTTTGTATATTTTGATAGTCGTCGAGTGGGAAGTTTATGCATGACTGTGTAAATAGTTAGACATACGGAAGATGACTATATATATGGTTATTTTGAATAACCGTAAGTTCGAACATTTACAATGCTATATTATGTATTTAAAGCACTCGCATTATCATATCCATATAATTATCGGATAATGAAAATTGAACAAAAGAATGGTGTCAGATTATGTTTTAATAATCATACTGTAAAGGATATGTGCTTAGTTTTCTTTTCAGTAGTCACACTTGATTATTTTTAAAGGGATTTGCGAGGTTTTTTTTTTTTTGCTTCCCTCTCTTACAATATTTGTATTCATTTTATTTTCTTCCGGAAGACCAAATGATTTTCGTTTTTGATAAATAGTTTAGCCTATCACGTAGCAGGAAGTTATTCATGATTATTTTTCAAGTTGGCAAAATTTCATGACGTGTAGTCACTTGTGTGATTCGAATATTTCCTTGAACTCCAAAACCATGATTAAAGACAGTCGTATCACAAAACGTAAAGAGATTGATAGTCTAATCACTCTAATGCCAATCAAGAATCAAGGATTTTTCTGGAAGGGGGAGGGGTGTCCAACAGCAAAAACATAAACCGTGTAAAACCTATGTCGAGCGAGGAAAAGGGTGTATATTCTTTCACTTTTTTGCTACCACACCAACATTTCACGTGGGGGGGGGGGGGGGGGGTTACCCACTTTACTATGTATACATTTCATAACTTTAAAAATTCCAGACGGAATCCCTCCCACCCCCACAGCAAGCTCTACAAACTTTCGTGCAAGAACAGAAGAAAAAAAATAATCAAGCATAAAATCTGTGTATGGAATTTAATTATTACCATTTCGAAATAGATTTTATGCTTGATTCTGTATAGAGAGCTTCTGTATGCTGCGCTCGCTATAAGCAAGGCAGTGCCCTCCCCCCCCCCCCCCCCCAAAAAAAAAATAGGTACTTGTAGAAAAAAATATCAACCCAGCTGCATGTTGATTATATCTTCACAAATTATGTTTATTACATTTATTTATTTCCTGTATGTAACATCTTCCCAAGTCAAGAGTGGAGCGGATCAGAAACTCTTGACTTGGGAAGAATGTATAAGACAGGAAATTTTTTTTTTTTTGGGGGGGGGACAAAACAAAATAATCGTTCCATACAAAAATACCCTACCACATATTGAAAAAGATTACAAATGGTATATTTGTATGGAACGACTATTTTGGTTTTTCCTCGAATTTTCCCATTGTATATACATTATAAATCATGAAGTGTAATAAATATAAGAGGGTGTTGCAGAAACTCGCGATTATTCCCTATATATCGAGAAGGACATTTAAATACCCTCGTTATGTCTAAATATAGATAATACGTAGAGGACTATGTTTACGGCGGGTATTTCCTGCTTGATACAGCAAAACACTCGTCATTTTGCACGAAAGAGGTTGGAACAACAAAAAGCACAATGGCTAAAGCAGCATTTTCAGAGATACATGTATACTGTAAACATCGTGCGAAAATATTTTTCATGAAATAAAACTGCGTCCCATAATCACACTGTTAATGCTACATCCAAGACCTTTTTTTAATATTTGTTTCAAATCAAATCTTGGCTACTAACTAAGAGACCAAAACTGCAATAACTACAGTGTAAAAAATATATTATTTAAATAATACAGTAACTTTATTTCCCAAGACAAATACTCAATTAACTTCTTGACATTCCCCCCTCCCACCTCTCTTTCAAAACATATATAATTTCATTGCAGTACCATTACATATGGAAAAAAATTTACAAAAATGATCCATACCAGGATTCGAACCCTTTCTCTGATAAAAGTACTAGTTGGAAGCTCACCAGCATATCCACTAGACCATAGACGATAGTTTCGTAGTGTTATTTAAAGTACACATTTTGCATTTTGTTTGGAGAATAATTTTATTCAATTTTTGCGTTTTTCAAAAATGTGCCTCTTTGAAACAAAAATCGGAAATGGCAGTTTTGAAGAAAATTCCTGCCTCTTTGTGTATATATCAAAATTATTTTGTTTCATGGAGGCATTTTTTCAGAACAATGGGGATTCCCTATTTAAAAAACGGAAAATCTGATAAATTTTGCCGAAAGACTAATTTTCAAATCATTTCATAGCAAATTGGAAGTCAATACACACCTTCCAAATATTGTTTTTCGTTGTGCTTTACATATTGTTGCATTTGAATAAAAATTAATATGAGTGTTTGCACCATAAAAATTCTTTTAATCTGCTACACATTTAGGGAAAATAACAAAAGAACTGCAACACCCTCTTTGTGGAGATATATTAATTTTTATTTATTTTTTTTTTGGGGGGGGGGGGGTGAGGGGGGGGGGTCAACAAGCAATCTGTTCTGAAAAGCGTTAGCGAATCATAACAGCTATTTTAATCAGATTGGTCCACAACTAACCACAAGTAGGGTATTATTGTTTGGAACGATTTTTCCTGTGGTATGCATTATAAATAAGTGTAATAATATAATAAGGGAAGAAATGTCAAACAACCCCTGGGGTTGATATTTTATCAGGGGGAGGGGGGTACACAAGTGTCTCTAAAAAATGTGTAGAGTATACATGTACCAATCTCACGCAAACCTTGAAACCTTCTTACATGTATCCGCGAATTCCAGAAAAAAATGATTGTAGAGCTCTACCGAAAACTTTTTAGGACGTTTATAAAGTTTATGATAGGACTGCATGCATGCTATTTATAAATATTTGCTAATGATATCGGGTTCGCTCTGACTGTTCAGCGCATGCGTAGAGATGTTATCAAATTGATACTAATATTGGTTTTCCAAGAGTGGAAACAGATACTACTACAATATTTAGTAATGGTAAGGAAAAAATTTTGAAAGCTTTATCTTAGGGATGTGATCATAGAATTGCTAGTATTGCTTAAAATTTAAAAGTTTTGCGTAATAAGCTTTCAAATGAACTTGCTTAGGACATGACATATTGGAACATTATTTATTAATTATTAAACAGCAAAACAAAAAACTCAAGCGAATTCTAGCTATAAAACACAGCATATTAATGTATATAGGAGTTAATAATCACTTAATATAATAATTATTTAAATGTATGAAATCAGTTTAAAAATGATAGAAATAGTGTCATCTCGATCCCGATGAAATTACTATTTAGAGTGTTGGTAAAATGGGAGGCTTACCCGGGCCAGGACAAATGAAAATTCAAATATCTTCGCTAAGACTCCACCAATTGATCAGAATTTTTCAGATTATGTTCATTGAAGGTTCTTTTGTATTTACTGTAATTATCGCCTTAATACATGCAATATTTTGAATTTTCTAGACACTTCGTCAATTGTTCATTTCCAAGTTGGTAAAATGGGTAGGCAAAATCAATAAGACATTTTACGGTATATTTGAATTATGAGTCAATGAACCATTATAGTTGTGGCAGGGATTTTCCATTGCCCCATGTGGGGCCAAATATGCAGTGATTGGGAAGGGCTTGCGCCATGCGCCACAGTCGCATTGAAGTGAAAAATGGCGCATTAAATCAATCAATCATGGCGACAAGGTGTGCATTCAATTTTTAGCTATGTTATTTGGAAATATTTTGCGTACGATTTTCTTTCTTGTTTTACTTTCGTTTTAAATGCAGTCAATTTAAAACAACAAATATCATTGGTTGAAACCTGTAAAAAAAAGTACCTCAGGTTAAACAAAGCGATACTTCATTCAAACAAAGTACTCTCCTGCGTAGTATTACAACTGTGCTCGCATCATCCATTGTTTACTTCTGGAAAAATATTAATTCGGACCAGGTAAATGCGGACAGTTCAAAAAGGTTTATAGACTTAGCAATTATTGAAATTTCTACCATAAATTAAATGAAAAAACGCGAATTTGTATTATTCACAGTTTTATATTAAGTAAGTTAATTGAAAAAAAAGTATTAAAACTCGTTAAAAAAATCTCATTCGTGAAATCTAGCATGAAAATTATTTTGACCCTGTCTTTCAGTACTGTCTCAGTACTTTGATTTATTATAAGTATTTATGACAATATTAGTTCCACATTTTTCTTCTATTTTCGAAAAGAAATATGATAAAAAGATATTTACAGTTTGTGATATTTCATGTTTACAGAGTCCATTCTTGCTACTGATAAGGTTTTAACTGTGTTTTGTTTAATCAATAAGGGGAGGGCAGGTATTAAAACAGATAATTAATGTCTGTACAGAAAAATTAGGGATGACAACTATTTGTGACATATATTAAAGCACACAGGTTAAAACAACCTTTCAAATACTATGCAAAAATGATCAAATCTCGAAAATTTTAAAATGACAAACCTGTTCTATTGAAAAGTGATCTATCGTTATATTATATAAGCTCATCAGCTTGTCTGATACAAGATAAGCTATGAAGAAACAGAAGTAAATTATCCTTTATTTTAAATTCACTCAAAATGACCAGCATTTATGGGTGCTTTAAAGTTGCTATATATATATTTTCATATGGAAGAGAAATCCAATAATTTGCTGCTAGAAATGAATTCAATGCTATAAATTTATAAATTTAAAAAATGTGTAAAAGTAAAACAATACATGTATACAAAGCAAGTTGTTGTGCTTTACAATATCATATTAAATGATCAGAGGTGTAGTTTTCGAGTTTAATTAAGACATTCAAGACATATTTTCACATGTAATGATCCAAAAGTATTTTTGAGGTTTTTAATGTCTAAGCTATTAAAATTATTATTATTTTTCTGTGCTTCATTTAGAAGTTTTTTCTTTTTTCTTTGTAAGAAGGTCAATCTATGTTAAATGTAAAATAGACCGGCATGCTCAGGGTAACCAGATATAATTCTACCTAAAATTAGTCATGATTGACATTGTTTTAAAAGAAATATCTGCATAAACATGATAAATTCAACTAAGGAATATTTTTATACCCCACGCAACTAGTTGCGGGAGGTATAATGTTTTTGACCCGTCCGTCAGTCAGTCAGTCAGTCCGTCAGTCAGTCCTCTTTTTTTGTCAGCGCAACTCCTCATAAACCGCTGGACAGAATTTCGTCAAACTTTGCAGGTATTTAGGACACAATGTGTAGATGTGCATATTACCAGGAAATTCCGATTCCATTATTTTTCCGGGAATTTCCGCACTTTTTAACTTAGGCATTTGGCCATACCTTGAATATAGAGATGAACAGTTTGTCAGCGCAACTCCTCATAAACCGCTGGACAGAATTTCGTCAAACTTTGCAGGTATTTAGGACACAATGTGTAGATGTGCATATTACCGGGAAATTCCGATTCCATTTTTTTCCGGGAATTTCCGCACTTTTTAACTTAGGCATTTGGCCATACCTTGAATATAGAGATGAACAGTTTGTCAGCGCAACTCCTCATAAACCGCTGCACAGAATTTCGTCAAACTTTGTAGATATTTAGGACACAATATGTAGATGTTACCAGGAAATTCCTTTATTTTTCCGGGAATTTCCACACTTTCCAACTTAGACTTTTTGGCCATATTTAGAATATAGAGATGAACAGTTTGTCAGCAACACTCCTCTTAAACTGTTGTACATAGTTTCTTTTATCCCAAAGAGTTTTGCCTATTATTCAAGAAAATTTCTCTCCCCAACCCCCCACAACCACTTCAAATTAATGTTTGGATTTGTATAATGCCAAGAAATTTTGATTCCATTATTTATCTAGAAACTTCATTCCACATTTAAATGTCCTCATATGTAAGACGTTTTGATGTGAAGATTTTTTTGCAATTATTGCCCTTTTTGATCTATACTATGTATTTAAAGTGCACTGTGCCTTTCATTATGTGTTTCACCGTCAAGTTTTGGGGGAGCGTGGGGTATGTGAGCTAACTCACTTTTTCTTTAATTTTCAATAAAAGCAGGAATAAAAACATGAAATGCTTATGGCATTGCACTGTAAGTAACAGATTTAGAAAGCAGGAAATAAAAGATATTAGGGGTATAAATTTGCCGTCTTAGTAAAAAAAAAAAAAAATGAGTTTTTTGCTTTTTGAACTGTTTTATCAAGATGCCAAGTTTTTGACATAATTTTTTAACAAGGAAAAGAATATCTCTTGCTTAGAAAATAATTTAAAAAAAGAAGAACTGTTGACTTCACTTCATTTTAAAATTTCTGGATGAGACACCAGAGTTTTTTTTATTTGGCCTTATGAATCTTGTAGGATGGATGATTAAATTTCCTACAACTAACCATGCTAACATGACTAAGCTTGTAAACAGGATGTTCAGAAATCCTGAAATACTAATGTAAAGTGTGTATTGCATTTTTTTTTTTTTGTAATTGAAGGGTATCCCAACTAAACATCCTAAAAGGTAGTTATTTCATTATTTTCCTTAGTTAGAAAGGAGTTCATATTCTGAAAAATTGACACAAAAGAAGTTCAAAATTCTGAAATTCTAAGCACATGCAAAATTTGTCAGAATACAGTTGAGATAACCATTATGTAAAACTATATAAATGTGTTAAGTCCTTGACTGCTTAAAAATTGTGTCATTTCTTACTCTACACCACTCCATGTTTGGTACTTTAATTTATCAGGTTTATGAAAAAATAAATATCTATCAGTATGTTATCTCAAGTATCAATCAAGAGGGTCCTTGACATATATCTTCAGCAAAAACAAACATTTCAAAAGATTGCTAAATTTGTTTGAATTTGAAATAATACGTTTTGACTTTGTGATCACAATAATGAACTTAATTATGTTTATTTATCTACATCATATACACATGTACATAATCACTAGTCAATCACTGTCAGAAGTATATAATCACTTGGAAGGTAACTTTGATGACTAATAAGGGTTACAGGCATTTTTGACATGAAAGGAGGAATTAGTTATTAAAGAAATAGCTACAGCATTGGGGGGGGGGGGGGGGGGGGGGTGGTGGTATTTTTTCTTATGAAGCTATATATGAGGAAGAATGACCTTTGACTTTTGGCCCAGGGTCATTTCTAATCTATCCTAATGTTTATATCGACCAGTCACTGTATTTAAGAAATAAAGTATATATCATTTTTAAATATCTATCGGGATATAAATATGGGTTGGTCACGAGATCAAATTCCATAAGGGCTTCATGATGAATTTAATCTCGTACCAACCCGTATTTATAGCTCGTTTAAAATGATACCTTATTATTTATATTTACATTTGTGACTTATTCATACTTTATATTTGCCTGATTATGACTTTTAGCGTGTGGAATGCATTATTTTTCAAACTCAACAGCAAGTATGTAATCCACTGAAAGCGGTCGACCCTTTATGATGTCACTGAGAAATTACATCAAACGTTTATCCATACGCACATCTATGACCTCCTGACCCCGTACCTGTATTTATACAGTTATAGATACACATTCCTTTCAGTAATGTTATATAAAGGAAAACATTTGCAAATGTAAATATAGTTATGTGAATCATCTGCATGTACCACAGGCACTTGTTTCTGTAATAAATTTTTTACCCATAGTATAATAATAACATTTATACTATGGGTCAAAAATTTATTACAGAAACAAGTGCTTGTGGCATGTACATAATGTTTGTAACGAACGAACAAAAAAGTAAATGAAATTATCAGGACTTTGGCGTTTGCCATAAGATAAGTAAAATTAAAATAAATATAATACAAATGATTAGACTTTGCCCAATGATAAGTAACAGTAACACATTAATTTACTATTTAGACTTTGACCTTGTGATATATACTTATGACATTCTACATGCATTATCTGCATGTTATCTGAGTTCAGGTTTGAACAGACATAGTTATCGAGATAGATACTTGTACACATGGTACATAATTAAATTATATCAAGTGTAAACATGGTAAAAGCTAGCAGCCTTTCTCCTTCTTATTTGTTTTGAACATGTTGAATATTGCTGTGAGTTTTCAACTTTGTTGTGGATTATTTCAGGACATAAGAAATATGGAAACTCCTTAGAAGAATCTTTATATATATTGGAACTTTGAAATGTCTTAACAGGTAAAGTTTTGATTAACACAGAAAACCAATGATATTATACGTACTACATTATAATTTTTAAAATGAATTTGATCCAACTATAAACCTTAATATGTATTTAATTCCATGGCAGAACAATTGATAAGAAAATTATGAACTATAGATTTGAATTAGTGAAACAATTTGGCAAATTTTGAATGAGTTAAAATTGCATTTAAATGCCTTTTTCAAAAGAAATTTTG